GTATAGCGGTGGTCTAACATTAGTCCTATAGCAAATTATCTAAATATAAACAATACCTTACTCTTGTTCTTCGTTTATGACAAACCTACACTTAACAAAATAAATCGTCTTTTTACCGCGGGTCTAGTCAATTTAGTTTCCCGCCATCAGCCAGCGCTAATTAATTATGCATGAAATACAGAGAGATTCTTCGCGGTCACCGTTACGTCATACAACGCGCTGAGGATGATCAATCCCTGCATGCTTTGGTTTTGTAGTTTCAACCGTTTCAACTTTGAACTTTACCGGATTGGTGAAAAACGAGTTTTGGATGAAAAAGAACGGAAGGGTAGTCGACAAAAAAGTGGATGTAAACTATTGAAATTGTGGAAAAACACAGACTTAGTCCGTGTCTCACATTCATCATAACTTATGGCTAAAAGGTACGCCAATCTTTTATAGTTTATGGAGATATATGGTAGATTTTATTATGTTTTAATTGTAACATATCCAAGCCCAGCCTGCTGTGTTAGTTAGGGCAGGCTAGGCCTAGGCCTAAACACACTGCAATAGCCTTACCCAGGCCTGTTGTAGCCTATAGTCATAGGCTCTAGGCCTAGCTCTACCTACAGTACCTTTCTTTGGCTAGGTAGGCATGAATGCATGCTAGGCCTAGAGGCTTAAAATTATTAATACTAGTAGCAGAGTACCAAGTAGGCCTAGGTATAACAAGCCAGGCCTTTTGTTTGTAACGAATCAACATCGGAGAATCTGTGTTACATAGATAGATAGGCCCTAACTAGGCCTAAATGCATTATTATTTCATCTTACTGTAGTAAAGTAATTATTAAAACTTTTAATCGTGGGGATGATACCTCAAAAACCAGCTCAAAGTTGCGCAGAGAATTACTAGGAAAATATATTAGTCTTATGCATTTGAGGACAAAATTTGGTTGGTACTCGGCTTACTATGACTATGAGAGGCTTCAATTACTTACTTCAGAAATGGGTTTTAATATAGGCTTTAGGCCTAGGTAGCCTCTTATACCCCATTGTTAAAACCAATTTGTAGGAGGATGATTTTCTGACATAGTCCCATGAACATCAAGATGTTTTTCAAAAGAGAAAACTGATGAACTAGAAGCTTTCCACCACATTTGCTGGTAGTTTATTCCAAGCGTTTACGATTCACTGAAAAAAGAAATATTTTCTAATTTTTAAATTCTTGAAAAGGCGTTTTTCCTAAATTTTAAATTTGTGTCCCCGCGTTCTTTCGTCCAGTGCTAATGTAAAGAAATCTTTGTATCTTGTCCCAGCCAGTTATAATTTTGAAAATTTAGATGAGAACACCTATAATCCACCTCAATTCGAGAGGATATAAATAAAGTTCCTTTAAGCATTACTCATATAACATGAATTTGAGGCACGGTGTAAACTTTGTCATGCAACGTTGAACTTTTTCCAAAATTTGTGTATATTTATTATTGGTTAGGACTCCAGGCCTAAGTTATGTTTTTAGAATATCCAGCTATTGAACATTTGTGGATTTACATACTGTAGGAAACGTTGCGCAATTACAGTAGTCTAAAAAATTGCACTTGATGTGTATTTACCTTCACTCTACAAAACGGCTGGAGTCACAGAATTTATAAATTTGTTAATTACCAAATATTGAAAATCACGGTACTGGTATAGTCAGTAGGAGCAAGGATGAAGAACTTTCTTATAAATCTGCTGTAATTTCCAACATTGAGGCTAAAATCTAACTTTCATATTAGAGCTACATCTAATTTGCGAAATCGGCAGACCAGATTACGTATGTCATGTGGCATTAGCGCAAACTCTCCTACCATGGACACTAACTAGGCCTAATTTTACTCGGGAAGCCGAGCAAAATGCGGAGCAGATAGTGAGATTACATGATTACATGACTACATGATTCTACTTTGCAGAAATCCATGTGTTATGTTGTAAATAAATACAATGGCGTGAGAGCTAGTGATTGTACAACGTCGACAAGAGGTACTTCTAAGAGGACAGTTTATCATTTCCAATCAAATTAAACACGATGCTTGTTTAATTCAAATAATGTTACATTGAATAATACATTAAACTTAAATTTACTGGTTGTGTTAACTAAATATTTTTTCCGGGGTAGGATTTGACTCAATTTAGAAATACATACTGCATCATTGGTGCTCTCTCTTTTTACTCAACAGTCCGGTACAAAAAGGAATCCACCAAGATGATTCTCTACAGGTATCTGTTGTTAGTGACGATGATAGTGATGACAGTTGGAAACAAAAGAGAATTCAGAGTGTTCTACATCAGGTAGATGCACCACAGAAGTCAGACTCACATCACAGGTGAAATATAAGTTTTATTATAAATATAAAATTATTCCTTTTACCATTTTGTCAAAGAAGATTTTATGCATTTTCGGTCAGACTCAAGAAGTATCACTTGGGTCAGGGATGGGTAACTGGCATAAAATTATTTACACTACGTATCTTTAACCTCTACTTATAATTAATTACTATATATACAGGTCATTTAAATGTGGAGCCTTGATCGAAAACTTTCTACCGAAATACAGTATTAGAGTATCTATTTCCAAATTGACGCTAGTTAAGCACAATTCATTTGATTAAAGATCACATGTGTTCATGTATGGGTATACAAATAAAGAATGTTTATGAGTGTGTTTGGAAGATGAGTCGAAAGATGGACAGTTCCAATCAATGAGGCAGTGACATGTTGTGACAATGTCACATAATATTAAGTCTACCAATCAAATTACAAGGACTGGACCTATTTAGGTGTCTTATAAAATGAGTAAATTTTAATTTTCTTGGTTTTGTTTTTTTAAAGGAGCAGTGATAGCAGTAGTGGTTCAGACAGTAGTGATGGCGAGGTGACGAGTGCTGGGCGCTTTCGCAGTGTAGTCGGAACAACCGTCAAGAGGCCTGATTATAGAAGGTAACACAAAAAATTCTGGTTTTCTTTATATTAAAAAAAAAGATATATGGAAAAAATGTTATATTACAGTACTCCCAGTTTTTTTTTTTATATATAAATATATAATGAAGATATTGTATAGGAATCTGGGTGGTTAAAAACCTTTGCTCAATGCAAAAGAATAAAATTATACACTTATTTTACATCTATTTTTGTAAAAAAAATGTTTTAATAAACATGTGTGAGCTGGATGGTGAAGAATGTCAGGCTAATGCAATAGTGATTAGGTTCACTTTTGAGATGCTGTTTGACACCCAGTGGATTGTATTGTATCATCTCCTTTTGACAATAAAAATAAAATAAAGAATCAACAAAAATGCATTGCTGGGTCATTCCGTGTCAAATTTTTTTTATATATAAATATATAATGAAGATATTGTATAGGAATCTGGGTGGTTAAAAACCTTTGCTCAATGAAAAAGAATAAAATTATACACTTATTTTACATCTATTTTTGTAAAAAAAATGTTTTAATAAACATGTGTGAGCTGGATGGTGAAGAATGTCAGGCTAATGCAATAGTGATTAGGTTCACTTTTGAGATGCTGTTTGACACCCAGTGGATTGTATTGTATCATCTCCTTTTGACAATAAAAATAAAATAAAGAATCAACAAAAATGCATTGCTGGGTCATTCCGTGTCAAATTAACCAGATTTCAATAAAGTTCCTGTATGACCCTCTCAGATTTTGATGAAACTCCATAAGAATTATCCACTGTGTGAAAAACCAACGCACAAAAAAAATTAGCGTTTTAGGATTTGTAGTTTCTGAGATATTGACTCCTCAAAAAGATGTGCAAACACAACTTCCTCCAACTTTGGAAGCTTAACTCTAGCAGGGAAGCTTAACTCTAGCAGGGACCTCTTTTTGATTTGACACGGAATTACCCTGCTAAACTACCTATTGCTGGCCTTGTGTCAGCTCTGTGTTTTTTTGTTTTTATTTCAGCTATTAAACAAAAAAATCATTGGCTCATAAGTACAAACAGGGCCTAAGAAAATGTAAAAACTAATGAGACGATCCAATCACAAAATTAACTTCTAGTTTTTTGGTGTTTTTTTTTAGTGACGGTGAAAGCAGTGATGATGACAGGGGGAAAAGAGACAAAGCAAAGGCACGCCGGCAAGCTCGATCACAGAATGACCGTGTCAAAAAACGCAGGCAGAGTAGATCAAGGTCACCAGTTTACAGAGGTCGTCAAGGAAGGACAAGTCGCAGCAGGTCAAGATCTTCAGGGGACAAAGATCGGAATAGCAAGAGAAGTCGTAGCAGGTCAAGGTCACCAAATTATCGGGATCGGAGAGGTCGTCGGGATTATGGTCGAAATGAATCTCACCGTGATAGGAGACGAGATTACGACAGACAAGAAGAAAAATGGAATCGAAGGAAGAGGATTCATGATGACGATAAAGAAAACAAAAGAAATGAGTAAGAGTAACAACATTAAATTTCATAACATTATATGGTAACAAATAAACAAATTTTCCTCACCTCCAACAGCAAGTAAATTGCCTATTACAGGCTGGAATGATGCTCTTTAAATTAAAATTAAAATGTTGCATTTTTGTGTATCTTTTGATTTAGGCGTGAAGGTGATAAGAAGTCAACTGATGAAGCCCCTGCAGAGCCAAAGGAAAAGAAGAAGAAACCAGAGCCTGATATTCTTACCACAAGGACCGGGGGTGCTTACATTCCCCCTGCTAAGCTACGTCTAATGCAACAACAAATAACAGACAAAACATCGTATGTATTCAGTGTAATTGTTTTGTACCATAAAATTGAAGAAAAAAATACTGCTCTGTACATTTTATGTCGTTATTACATATTTATTAGCATCAGCATACGCTGCTAATACAGCAGGGCTCTCACCATGCTGGTCGGCGGTGGCTGGGCCTGTTCAGGACTCAGTTTTTCCCACCAGTATTTTTAGGCTGCCGACCACCACTATTTTTGCAATTGATAGTGGAAAAAAAAACGGCTAACAAAATACTATCGTTACACAACTACTAGGGAGTTGTTGATTAACAACTCATTGACTAGACATTAGATAAGACAAAAGATATCAATTAACGTTTCTGTGGTAACATTATCTTAAAAACCTACTGCTAGGCGTAGGTTTAGTATTGTTGCTCTTTATTGAGCAACACACAATCGGAAAAGGACGTCAAATCAACGCAAATGGGGAAACCCCGAGTTGGGTCTCATGAACCAAGGAGGTTTGTTGTTCGTAAATAGGTGTTAAATTCTATTACTGTTTTTGTAAATAAATGTTATTTAAGTTGAGTTGTATTTCAATCATTAAATATATTACTAAATCACAGTGTTAACTTTTCAAAAACTGTGATAAAGTTAGAAATATACCTAATTGTTTTCTTTTCACTCTACTCGGGTCATGAGAACACACGACTTGAGTGAGGCTGTTTATTTTGGTTCTCATCCACCCCACGAATGTCAAACTTTGTGGTTCAACCTTTTTGAGTTGTAACTGTTTACAAAATACATTACATGCGAACCAATTCGGGGATTCCCCTTGTGCATTGATTTGCCGTCAATTTGATCTGTGTGTTGTTCAAAAATGAGTGAAAATTCCTTTGTTTTTACAAATATTTGTTTTGATTAAGCTTGTATTTTAACAATACTATTTTTAGGAAGATTTGATTTTTGTACACCACGGATTTATGGGTACATTCAATCATATAACTATGATAACTACGATTTTTTCAGCCTGAAAGGGGAGTGGGGGTAGTGTTGGCGACCACCACTCCCAAATTCTGGTAGGAACCCTGGTACAGTATATATTTTTTTAATTTCTTAATTCTGAATGCAAAATAATATTCAAGGATAATAAAATACCACATCGGCAAACTTTTTTCCATAGTAGTAGAATAACATATTTTTTCTATTTTTAGAACTGCTTATCAACGAATAGCATGGGAAGCACTAAAGAAGAGCATAAATGGTTTGATCAACAAAGTCAATGTTTCAAACATCGCACTTATAGTCACAGAATTGTTTGCAGAAAATATTATCCGTGGCAGGTATGTTAAGAATCATTGACACTCCTGTTGGTCTTTTGAGAATGCTTTAAACTCAATATTCCTAAATGTAAAACAGTTAATTACAGCAACCGATCATTCCTGTTTTCATCAGCTTACTTACGGAATAACCTTCCGGTATATTTAAAAAATGAATCAACTTTGGTTGAAATGTGTAAGTCCTGTAAAAAACATATTTTTACGACATATAAGAAGTTGAACTGTTAATTCATCACAAATAATCATCTTTCCTTCCACAGAGGGATGTTAGCAAGGTCTATAATTCAAGCTCAGAGTGCCTCACCCACATTTACACATGTCTATGCATCTCTTGTTGCAATCATCAATTCTAAAGTAAGTTGCATGCTTGTATACTATACCATATCATATACCATTGGTTGATTGATTTATTGTTTGATTGATTGAAGGAGTAGGTTGGTTGAGTGGTTGGGACACTTCTATCGTGCCAGTGACATGGGTTCAATGACCTGCCAGTGATATGGGTTCAATCGACCTTTCTTTTAAGCCCCGCCCCTTGGATATTGTTGCTAAGATCCCACAAAAGCACAGTGTAAAACATGTGCGTTTGTAGGAGAACACATGGGTGAGATGCGTGTCTTCCTGACGCTGTTCTGATTGGTCATTTGTTAAGTTTGATTGACACTCCGTAAATGTCCATTCCAGGTGAGAGGCACTGTCAGTTCATGGAGCTGTTGTTGAATACTTGGCTTAAATATACCGGGAAAGTTAAAAGGCAATGTGGAAAGGAACTAGCCACCTACCACACAATTTGTGTCTAACAGCTCTTTTACTTGTAGCCTTCTTCATTTAGGTAAAAAATGTTTAATGCTAATTAATGTTGTGTTCTTGTGTTTATTCTTACTATGAAAACATACATTTAATGTATTTTTATTTTTATTATTTACATCCCTTTTCCTAACAGCTTCCTCAGAATGGTGAACTGATATTGAAACGGCTGATTGTCAACTTCCAGAAGAGCTTCAAGCGAAATGACAAGAGCTTGTGCTTATCAGCTACTAGATTTATTGCTCATTTGGTCAACCAACAAGTAGTAAGATCATAGTTTAGTAAATAATCTTGCATATAATAAATATAATGAATTAAAAGATAATTTAAGATCTAAATCAAACATAGATTTATTATTGGGGGTTTTAACTGAAAATAGAGAACAAAAAAAATGTTCCTCACTAATTAGGGGATGTTTAGAAAAAACTATTTCTATAGTCCTAAATTTCTTGCAGAAAAAAATGAAGAAAAAAAAAATTAGTAATTTAAAGTTTTAAAAAATGTTTTTGTTAAAGAAACAAGCCATGGAAACATGCACTTAAGTCCCCTCAATTAACACTTTAACTTGAAGTTGTTTTTTTTATTTGTACAGGCACATGAGGTACTTGCTTTGGAAATACTAACACTGTTGCTTGAAAACCCATCAGACGATTCTGTTGAAGTTGCTGTTGGCTTCCTAAAGGAATGTGGTCAGAAGCTATACGATATTTCACCCAGAGGCATGCATGGTTAGTCGCAATAATTTTAAAATATTTTTTTAGAAATACCTTCTATCTTTGTCTTTATTGAATGAGTGTTTCATAATTTTACCCTTAACTTAATTTTTCTAAAATAAAATACTCCGCACATGCTTCATTATACAGACAGATTATGTAGACAGTGGCTACATGCTTATTTCCTATGTGATTATTGGTCATCTGTTTTAAACTTACCCTACATGTGCTCAAACTGTATGGAGTAGAGTCATGATACATGATCTGTCTAATAGATTCTGTGATGATATTTTGTGGTGCTTATAAGATCAGATATATAGGTATACATGGTATATAGTTTAAATTTTTCTGTAATTAATTTTAAACTTTCAGCGATATTTGATCGTTTACGAAGCATCCTCCATGAGTCCCAGATTGATAAACGAGTACAGTACATGGTTGAAGTGATGTTTGCCGTGCGTAAGGATGGATTCAAGGACTTTCCCACCATAGTGGAGGGCCTGGATTTGGTGGATGAGGCAGAGCAGTTCACTCATCTTTTGACCTTAGAGGAACAATACACTACAGAAGACATTCTGAGTAAGTAACTTTTAAAAAATTGCAAATAATTTTTTTTATTCATTGTCAAATATATGGGCCGGTTCCACGAAAACCCTAAGTCACAAGCTTAGACTTAAATACAAGATAAGGTTAAATTTGTTCCTTCATCATATGTGGTAGATGTAGGAAATTTGTTTTCAAAAACTATCAGTTCATGATAAATTAATACTATAAAAGGCATCGTATTTCACATACAATTATCAAGAGAATTTCTAGTTGAAATTTTGTTGGAAAGTCAATATTGTGTCTGGTCCATCTGCTGATTTATAACTATTTATCAAAATTGTAACAATTACAAACTACAAGTTACAGTTACTTTTACAATATCATTAGAGAGAGATAGGTGCTAAGCACATTTTGTTGACCAATCATGTATAACCTGAGCTGCCTCTTTATGCATTTTTTGTTTTAATATAAGTTTAATTAATACATACTAAAGCTTCAACCAGATTTTCTCAGTTATACTTTTACAGACATCTTATTTTCAATTTATCCTTATAAATTCACCATTCTAAAGCTAATAAATAAATTTTTTTGAAATAATAAGTTTTTTTGTGAACCTGTCATATATGTGTATGACCCAATTATTTTTGATCATGTTTTTCCATCAGATGTGTTCAAGCATGACCAGGAGTACCTTGAGAATGAAGAGAGGTATAAACAAATCAAGATAGGTCTTCTAGGAGGTGATAGTGATTCAGACTCCGACGGGAGTGAGGAAGGCAGTTCAAGTGAGGCTGAATCGGACACTGAAGGTAAATATATTAATTTTGTTATTTTTATTTAATTAAATTTTCATTTTATTTGCATCCACTTGGTACAATAACAATTACAAATGTGGCATAAAAGTTAAAAGGTAAGTTAAAGAATATATCAAGTGATGGAGCCTAAAAGGAAGCACAGCTTATTTTATTTAAGCTCCTCTGAAAAAAGAAAGAAGCTCATTTAAAATGATCAAATAAGTTATTTACTTCTAACTTCTATGTTTTTTGAATTGGCGCGTTATAAATTTCTGCATATTATTATTATTATTATTATTAACCAGATACAAATAAAAAGTTATTTTATAGCGTGGAAAAGATAAAATGATGATTTCAAAATGACACAAATCAACGTATCATTGTGTATTCTTTCAGAGGAAGGGTGGAGGGGGTTAAAGAAAAGAGTATGTTTTGTAAAGGATGAAAATAATGGATGAGGCCCTAAATTGTTACGCCACTGCTCTGACAGACCTTGATAAAAATAAGACAGTTTGCTACAGAGTGTGATGAGCAAACTGTGTCATAAACAATAGTTGTTTTAATGCCTTTTTTTTATCTACAACAAAAGTATTAATTTTCATATCGCAGCTGCCAAAATGGAAATTCTTGATCGGACAGAAACGAACTTGGTTGCTTTACGTCGTACTATCTACTTAACTATTCAGTCTAGTGCTGTGTTTGAAGAATGTGCCCACAAACTTCTCAAGATGGAAATAAAACCAGGCCAAGAGGTATGATACAAATGATTAGATTGCTATCTTGATACTGTAAAACCCTCGAATTGAAGACCAATAGGCTTAATCTCAAATTGAAGCCCCTTCTTTATTTTGGAAAATTAGCCTGTAAAAGAAGCCCATGGGCTTCTTTTCAAGATAGCATTTGCTTCTTTTCGAGATAGTACAGTACATACACTACATAAATTTCAAATAAATTAAAACATGATTGGTTTATATAGTAGTTTAGGTGATTTAATGCCAGTAAATATATTCCATGATACAGATTGATGTTACGGTGACCCTATTTATTTTTTTATACTACTAATTCTAAAAATTTACAGCATTCATTTTGAAAAGTAGCCCCCCCACCCCTCTTTACTATGGAAAAGTAGTCTAAAAAAGAAGCCCATCTTGAAAATAAGACCATCTTGAAATGAAGCCCATCCAAAGTTAGCCAAAAAAAGAAGCCCAAGGCTTCAATTCACAGTTTTACGGTATATATATAAAATGATCAAGAGTAGCTTAGCTTGGCCAGCTCACAGTGTGTGCACTGATCCATGGGTCCCTGGTTCAGTTCTGTTCCTACTCTCCTATGTGTCAGCTGATACATGGGTCCCTGGTTCAGGTGGTGTTCACATATATGGGCATGATGATGTCATAGTACACCCAAATATGGGCATATCAATTTATTTGTCACATAAATTATGATAGTTTGAACAGAGCTTAAAGCAAAGGCATTCAAGTTGTTGCATATGTTAAACAAACTCTGTCCACTTATTTAAAATAAAAAGTATTGATGGACAGACCATAACCACCAATGATACAAATAAATAGTGGCCTTGTATGTCAGAAGACACCCAAATGATAGCGGATGAGTGGTGTTGGTGACTGGAGAAGGTGTGTTCTTGCCTTTTTTCCTCTCCGATCCACCTGTACTGTATGTATAGAGCTCAAATGAATAAATTGCCAAAATCAATCAATTATATTTTGTTGATTAACTTGCATAAAATAAGTTTAATTTAACTTGTTACTTCCAATGTTCTTTTTATACCTGAATAACTAAAATAATGGGTTATACCAAAAACAAATGTTGCTGTTACTTAGTGGTAAAATTGTAAATCAATTTTCATTTTATTCCACAGAAAGAAGTTTGCTTGATGATATTGGATTGTTGTGCTCAACAGAGAACCTATGAAAAGTTCTATGGTCTGCTAGCTCAAGTAAGTCATGGATAACAGTCTGACTCATCAGTGGCAATGCTCCGAGTGGTGGTTGGGGAGGGGGGAGTTATTGATAGATTGAAGAATAATATTAATAAAAACTTTATATCAGATGTTAGCCTAAATTGGATAGGCCTATATAAATTAATAGTTTGGACACTGATGAGATACAAATATCACCATCCTTAGGTCAAGATTCCTTGTGTAGGGCTCTCTAATGGCTTATTATTTTTAAAAATGTTCTCATTGGGGAGAGGACTCCCCCTCCCAAACCCTTTCTTCATCGCCCCCACGATGGTGCTGCATGCTAAAGTACAACTCTTGCCCTGCCGTCGGGGAAACCACTGTGACTCATGCTTTTAATACTTTTTATTTTCTTTGGATTTCTGTGCCTAAGCTCTACTCGCTGTTGGGACGGATTGTTATTAGCGGTCTAAGACAGTCTTGACTCTTAGCTAGCTCTAATTGGACATAGATAATGGTAGTTGTAGGTTAATAATAATTGAAATTGGCAAAGTTAAACCAGGTTCCTAATTTTTTCAGGGATAAATTGTAACCACTGATCCATCATCCACCAAATTCACTAAGGTCATCAGCTTCTTTGTACAAACAACCTGTCATGGTAGGCTGATCTGAGTATCTAGGGAAGCATTCTTAAGTTAGAAGGTTTTGATTTTCTAGGGAATTTCTAATAACCAGTAGTGGTGTGATTGTTGATATTGTGTTTTTCTATGAAATCGCTATCACAAGTCACTGAAAGCTGTTGGCGACTAGCATGTAGCAATTTAATTGAAATCAGGCTTTAGAAAAATTCTTTTTTTACAATATATTTTCATAACTGAGAAATTTAATCATAAAGTTATAAAATTATTAATCTTGCAGAGATTTTGCCAGTTAAAAAAGGAGTATCTTGAGAATTTTACAATAATATTTGGAGAACAGTACGATATCTGTCATCGCTTAGAAACCAATAAACTTAGGAATGTGGCCAAGTTCTTTGCACATCTTCTATACACTGATGCCATACCCTGGACGGTAAATTATTTTGTTTTTAACAGTTTTCCAAAACACACTCATTTTTAGTTGTAGATCAAAGGATTTGAAATAAAGAGGGCCCAGAGATGGAGGGTCCAGACCATCTCTGCCTGCCGTCTCTGCCCTACCATCAACAATGCCAATAATCAAAGCAGGAAAAGAAACCACCATCATCACTGCCTTTATTCATATGGTCAATGGTCATATATTTATACAGCGCCTTCCACAGAAAACCGTCTCAAGGCACTTTTGAAGCCACAAGAAATAAAGTCAAAAGAACGTTAAGGTGGGGGGGGGGTGAGTGCGCACCCCCGATTTTGAGATGGCGTAGATTGAGGAGTGCATATCTATGTAATATACCTTGCGCTAAGCCCTGCCTTCCGGATATTGCTGCTAATGTCTCACAAAACAACAGCGTAAACGTATGCAAACACACACACACACACACATGTACCCCGTGTTAGCCGGTGGGGGGGGGTCAGGAATTGCATTTTCGCCCTCGAACAGGCCAGGACTTTGTCATTCGATCCTACAACTAGGTCTTCAGACCATCCAAATAATGCTATTTTCATTGCCAATCCCTAATATTGTGGTCTAAAAGCACAATTTGGACCACACTAAGCCATAAAAACTCCCAACCTGAACCCTACCATGGCTTTTTCATTCAGGGACCCTTAATGAGGCTCTAGTCAGTTCCTTGAGCGGAAGGTGATCATTTATTATTCCGTCATTTTTAATTACAGTTTTATAATATATATTTTAGGCATTATCCTGTATCAGGCTGAATGAAGATGACACCACATCTTCAAGTCGAATCTTCATCAAGATCTTATTCCAGGAGCTGTCTGAGTACATGGGACTCCCAAAACTGAACGAAAGATTCAAAGATCAGTAAGTCATTCTACAAAAAGAGCTCACTTTCCAGAGAAAGATTATAGGAGTGCCTTCAGGTGTTGGTCACATAAAACTTGTGATCATCATTCCTGATGATGACATAATTAATGTCGAAATATTGAATCCCAACACGATGGCGTGTATTTCAATACTTGGAGTATGTATTATACTTTCTGATATGGTAATGGTTGGAGATTTATATAGGGCATAATATATGGTCTCTATGCACTGTAGAGAAACAAAAATAGCAAAATTTATTCTAGTAAGTCAACTAAGCTAACCATGCTCAAATAAATATCCGAAACAGACTAATTTAGAAGAAGAAACAGTTGTGTGTGACTGAACATAATACTTGATTGCTAATGTTACAGATTGTAAGAGAAGGCATTCTAATTTTTTTTTTTTATTTGTCCATGAAAGCACATAGAGATTTTGTTATGTGGTTTGTACATTGCTTATTATTAAATAGTTAACAGTGTACTCTCTAATTCATTATAGAACATTGCAGCCATTCTTGGAAGGTCTAATGCCACATGACAATCCAGCCAACACCAGGTTCTCTATCAATTTCTTCACAACAATTGGACTTGGAGGCCTTACGTAAGTTATAACTAACATTTCCAATTCCATTATTATAATTATTATTATTGGTTTATAATGACAATATACCTTTTAGAGTAAAAAAAAAAAAAAACTGTAAATACCTAAACAATTTTAATTTGTGTTATTTTTATACCGTAAAACCAATGGGCTTAATCTCGAGAAGAAGCCCATCTTGAATTACTTTGCAAAAGTAAGCCCATGGGCTTCTTATCAAGATAGCATAGGCTTCGTTTTGAAATAGTACAGTACATACACTGTACATTTCAAAATATGTTAAACAAAAATGCTTGGTTTAGGTGATTCAATGCCGGTTAATACACTCCATGATACAGATTGATGTTACAGTGGCCCTATTATTTTTCTTTATAAAAAAGAAGCAGCATCAGGCTTCTATTTGAGGTTTTACAATATATATGTTCAGCTAGCCTGGTTCTGCCTAAATTTTGAAACATTCAAAAGAAAAAAAGTTAGTGTGAGAATACGATTTCTGCCATGGCAATAAATAGTAATAGTTGGGGCTAAGGTGGTTTGACCTTCCATCTGTAGAAGTTCCTTTGCTGAACGCCTTCTATTTTAAATTTCTAGATCTGCCACTATAAATTGATTTCTCGATAGTCCACTAGAATTTCTGCTAGTTTAAGCATTGATATTTTCATCTTATTATTTTAGGGATGATCTTCGTGAACACTTAAAGTTACAACAAAAAAAGATAATGGAGCAGAGACAGCCTCTTATGAAAAGCGACTCTTCTGATTCCTCTGATTCCAGTTCCGACGAATCGAGTTCATCGGACGATGAGAGCTCATCATCATCGTCCACATCTAGTAAGTTTGCTGTCACCAGTGTTTTGGTTTTAAATGAATGAATGAATCTTGTTTATATAGCATTTTTATACATTAACTTTCTTCAAATTCTCATATTTTTACTATACAGTACAACGTCCATTTTATGAACGTCGATTTTACGAATAGTCAATTTTACGAATGGTCTTTGCCCCTGATGACGTCATCATCGACCAATTATTACTGTAAAAAATGTCTGTGCACGTTTTACAAAGTGATAATGTATATTTTTCTTAATAAAATCAATTGTCGTCGGATTGAGCGCCTATGTTTACGATGACGAATGAGAGTGTTGGGGTTAGCAACTTATTAACATCGTGAATGTAAGACACCCGATCTACTGTACGAATTTTTCAATTTATGAACACCCCTTGTTACCAAGGGGTACGTAAAATGGACGTTTTACTGTATTTGTAAATTTGTTAAAATTTATTTAGAGCCCTGTATTAGATATTTTTTTCATAAAATATTCATAATTATGTTTTTTACAGGTACTTCATCAGAATCTGAAGACGAACGAAGAAAAAGAAAAAAAAAGAAACAAACCAATGAAAAAAAGAAAAACAAAGGAAAATCAAAACAAATACGGGAGAAGAAGAAAAGGAAAAAAAAGCCAGTGTCATCATCATCATCTTCGTCGTCGTCCGCTTCGTCGTCGTCTTCATCATCATCTAGTAGCGGTATTGCATCAAATTCAAGTACAGATTCTGACTCATCAGACGCTGAGTCAGCGCAGGAAATTTCAAGGAGTGACAGAAAAAAAAGAAGACAAGTAGATGAAAGAAATTATGGACAATTAGGTAATGGAAGAGAGGAAAATGATAGAAGCAATCAGATTTATCGCAGAGGAAAAGAAGATAGGATAAACAGAGGCAGAGATGATAGGGATCACATGAGAAGGGATGAGCGGGTTGGAAGAGGTAGAGATGAGGATAGCAGGTGGAGGGGTGAAGGGGACCACAGATGGAGGGACGAAGGAGAAAAAAGTTGGAGGAACGAAGAAGAAAACAGACGGAGAGATGAAAGAGACAACAGAATGAGGGAGGAAAGTGGCTACAGAGGAAGGGAGGAAAGGCACAGCCAAGGGAGGGCTGAAAGGGATAGCCGAGGGAGGGACAACCAAGGGAGGGACAATGAAAGAGACAACCGAGGTAGAAACAATAGACAAAACAGGGAAAACTACAATAATAGAGAGAGAGAGAGTTCAGAAAGTCCCAAGATCAGAAGGGTAAATCACAAAAATAGAGGAAGGGAAAATTCAGAAAGTCCAGGGGTCAGAAGAAGGGAAAGATACATTAATAGAGGAAGGGAAAGATCAGAAAGCCCAGATATGAGGAGGGAAAGCCACAAAAATAGAGGAAGGGAGGTTTCAAAAAGTCCAGAGGTCAGAAGAAGGGAAAGGTACATTAATAAAGGAAGGGAGAGATCAGAAAGCCCAGAGATAAGGAGGGAAAACCACAAAAATAGAGGGAGGGAGAGATCAGAAAGCCCAGAGATAAGGAGAGAAAACCACAAAAATAGAGGGAGGGAGAGATCAGAAAGCCCAGAGATAAGGAGAGAAAACCACAAAAATAGAGGGCGGGTGGGTTCAGAAAGTCCAGAGATAAGGAGAGAAAACCGCAAAAATAGAGGGAGTGATAGATCAGAAAGTCGAGAGATCAGGAGGGAAAGGTACATTACTAGAGGAAGGGAGGGTTCAGAAAGTCCAGATGTAAGGAGGATAAACTTCAATAATAAAGGGAGAGAGAGTCCAGAAAGTCCAGACATCAAAAAGAAATATATCTACAATAATAAGTGGAAGGAAAGTTCAGAAAGCCCAGAGGTCAGAAGAAGAAATCATGATGAAGACAGAGAAAGGCTTAAAGAGACACCAGATAAAAGAGATCGCATAGAGGAACGAAACAGCAGACACCGTTACGAGGAACGCAACAGACGTTACTGAGGAACTTGTGATAACAAGATACTGCAGAACATCAAAAAGGAGAGGAGATGCATCTGCCTCAATCAATAGAGAACAATTGAAAACAGCATGCATCTAATGAATTGACAAGAGAAATGCATAAACAGACAGAGAAGAGCTACTGTGTGTAGACAAACTAGATGAAAGTATAGTAAAGGGAATATATTTGAGTGGGAAACTGCTTTAATGGTGTATTTGTAAAAGTAGTGTCATGGACTCACCTTGGATACCACTACTAAGAGTTTACTTTTCATAAAATCTGAATGTGAAAATCAGTTTATGAGGTCAACAAAAAGATGATGCACCCAGCCTTTAGTTGAATTTAGCCCACAGTTGATGAACTTTTCTTAAAATTGATGGGGCTAAGCTGATAAGCTCAAACCCCAATTATTTCCCCTCTAGTGTACTGTGAATTGCACCATGTTTCAACATAATGCTTTGATAAATTTCTGTTATGATGATTATCACTGGTAGTGGTACTGGTTATATTACCTTACCCATGTTCTTTTTAAGATCAGCAATGGCAACGCCAGAAAATTTCCAAATCCATGATGAGAGGTCCTCGGCCCCACCATGGTTTGAGAAATTTTTCTTTTAAATAGAAATAGGCCCAGAATTGCCACTCCCAGACTATAAACATGTTTTCAAAGCTGTGTTCCCCAACAAAATAATTGACTTCTCCCTCAATAGAGGGGTTGGTATGCTCCAATAGTAACTGTTCCTATACCCATGCTTTATGTGAAATGTCGCATCATTAATGCTTATGCATGGTGGCCTAATGCAAATATTTGATGTTGTTATAGTGAAGGCAAGATCACGTCAAGGTTCACAATGTACTAGGTGAAATTAATTCAAATCCTCAGCATCACAAAGATGCACTGTCACATTTGAAATTTAAAAAAAAAAAAAACATTGAAAAATTCAAATTTGTATTGCTTGTATAATATACTGTCAGTAAGATGAAGTTATTACAACAATCCTTAAATTTTCTGCCGAACATAGAAAAAAAAAGGTACGGTATTGTATAAACATCAACTAACTGATACTGTAGTCAATTTTTTCCTCATTCTAATTTTAATTTGATCACTTACAACTTACTGAAATATTGAAATCAAGCAATTCAATGATAAAAAAAATTGAGTACATGGCAGTGTATCTATAAAGGTGTGGTGGTCTTGTATCTTAAAAAAATAGATTAATTTCATGTTTGACATGAAAACCACAGTGCACCCTCTAATTCAAGACCACATTTGGTGAAAAAGAAAAGGCTGTGGTCTCTAATTGGAAGGTGCACTGTATTTGCTTCTTGTTACATAATGTAATAATCTACACTATAAAAAGTTGTGAACAGTGATGATGTAAATATAGTTTTAAATAAAAAATAATAAGTTTCCAATTACTTGTACTGTATTGATTTTTTCCATATTAAATAACAAATTCATACACAAAAGATGAAAATTGTGACATCTTTTTTTAGGGTAATGGAATCTAGCAGTTTAATAAAGAAATAACACAATACCTGGATATCAGTATATAACCCAGTAGAAACCAACTCTGATAACGTTTTTGAACATTACGGTATATAACACATTTAACGGTATATAATAATAATAATAATTCTGGATTTATATAGCGCCTCACGTTGACACAACCTCGAGGCGTTTATCAACAACAGAGAAGAATAAAAATTAATAACACATTTATAGGAGCATGTGTCGCAGAGTGCAAGGCGTTGGACTTTTGATCGCGAGTTCGAGATCGACGCCCTTGCATTGTGTCTTGGGCAAGGCACCTTACTTCTGTTAGCGTCTCTCCACCCAGGTGTATAAATGGGTAACTGGGAGGATGGTGTGGCATTGTACTTCTAGGTTGTGCATGTAAAGCAGCATGATTTGGGATACCCAGGAAGCAGAGAAAGTTGCACAAGAATGTGCTGGTTTGCCAATTATGCAGCCAATGACCAGGGAAATACCGACACCAGCCCCTTTTTATACTCTTCGGTTTGTGTATAGGTGCTATATAAATCCTGATTCTTAAAAAAAAAAAGGCCTATTTCATGCATCTGATATGTTGAAAGTGCAGGTATAGTTTGACTAGAATATTTCTTACAAATGACTGCTCAAGGCCGCCATTTTATTTTGCAAGTGAACTGAAATGAATATACAATACAGTATTATTCAGTCGGTCGAATACTCTCAAATGTGCATTTTGAAAATTTGCCCTTCAATGTTAAAGGACTGCAAATTATATACCCTGTTGGAGGTTACCTCAGAACTTCCTCCATACCTTTCAATTTACTTGTCCACTTCTAAATCAATTTCTGCTGTCTTTTCTTTTAACTTGAAGCAAGTTCTGTACTGTATTTTAAATTATTTAAAGTTTCTAACTTAGTACTGTAGTATGCAATAAAAATGTTTTAATAAGTTGTTAATTGGTTCTTTGCAATAATGGTAAAACAACAGTTTTGATTTTTTAAAACATTTAATAGAGTAATTACTGTACAAGCTAAAATAACTCATTTCTCACATTCCCTAAAAATTCTTTTGTTTGTATATTTTCCACATTCCTCTTTACTGGTTGAAATTCTTTGCTGCTGAAACAATTACCTAAAATCTGTGACGGTGCCAAAAACAATTAGGTAATATTTTAGTTCTGGGACGACACTGGTAATCCGGGATGAGTAATGCTGTTGTGAGGCACATGGGTTTTTTTTTATGTCATGAGATACCGTAATGTCAAAATGCATAGGGTGAGTGATAGTTGGTGATGAACGCTACTAGAGTTAGGTCTAGCCTTAAGCACCGCCCACAATATCAAATTTTATGTGACAAATTTGTGTGATGCACCCAAGTATGGCCACAATTATGGATGTCAATATATCCAAGCACCTGTGATTTGGAATCAGCTTCCACTTAACATCCGTCAGTCTTCACTTTCCAATAATTCAAGTCTCTCATTAAAACTTGCCTGTACCAATAGATTAAGGCCTTATGGCACTGTGTAACACCTGTAAAAACCGCTTTATAAATGCTAATTATTTTTGTTATTAAATATAGGCATCACAGTTATTTGAGCACGGGTGGGCATAAAATTCGGTTGGAGGGCCAAAGTGAATTTTTATTTAACACCGAGGGCCGCCCCCAAACTTAATGTTTCCAGTGGGCTTCTAAAAACCTCCAAGCACTGCTTTTACATCACTTTATTCTCCGTTTCAATGTTACTTTTTACATATGATTGGTGTTGGGCCATAAGAAACAATATGTTTTCTAGCCAATGTTGTTTGGCGGGCCGCACACACAGGGTTTTTAATTCATTTTTGCAGGTCGCAAAAAAAATCGCTGTTGGGCAGCACTTTGTCCACCTGTGGTTTAGAGCTTTATAGTTGGTATATTCCCAACTGACTGGCCCTGATTTTCTAATAGCACTGATTATCTTCTTCATCTCCAAATTATAACATGAGTGAGACATCGTACTCAGTTGTCAAATTCATCTACTGTTGATTTATCATCAGATCCTAGGTAGATTGTTACTTGTCTATTTGATCCACGTAGTTCCAAATCAACCTTCTCTACATACCATCTGTAAAGATAAGAATGAAATGGTCTTCTGTAATACAGATACAGTATGTATCTAAGAACAAAATTTTAATACGGTAATTGTAAGAATGTGGTCGGAATGTAATGTGTTTATTGTAAAGTATAAATGAACATCGGTCTGTAGTGGAAGATAAAATCTTTGCATAGTTAACCCTGTTTTCGCCAATGTCAAATCAACGTAGCAGCATGTCCTGAGTAAATGTCTGGAAACTGGCATACACTTTCTTCGGCATTCTAGCCTAAATCTGGTACACTCAATGACAGAGTTTAAGAATAATATAAAAACATTTGCACATACTCTTCTGAAGTATCTTTTCTTGAAGACCAACTGCATATGGTTCCTGAACGCTTGCTGCCTTTGATAGGAATCTGAAGCTGAAAATATTTTCATCATTTATAATTACAGTAATTTCATTATAATATTCCTAGAGTTATATTTATTTGATATCTTGCGACACCCTTGATGGCTATTCTTAATAAGTATTCTATACCTAATACTTGCAAGAAAAAAACCTAAAGAACCTTTCACAGTATATTTTATTCCTTCTATATTTTTCTCCGATGAGGAGCTCTAGAGGAATACCCAAATGAGTGATTATATAGATCTTTTTAATAGATCTTTATTGTATGGGTGGCCATTAGGGCCAATTATCTCCGATGAGAAGCTCTAGAAACAGTCGGCTGATTGATTAATCTGAATAATTATTTTTTTAGCTCCGATGAGGAGCAAGGAATACCCGGCTGATTGATATTTTTTGCTGATTGATTAATAGATCTTTTTGTATGGACAGCTATTAAAGCCAATATACTCTACTGCCTCTATTATACTGCCCTCATCGGAGCATTTGAGATTACAAGACCTTGTTAATATTATTTTTTAAACAAATAAAGTTAATCCTTAAAAAACCACATTGTGATTTATTATAAAATAAAATGACATTTACCTGAGCATTGTAACCATCCATCTTATTGTTATAGCTACTTAGACTTAAAAACTTGCTTCTGATTGGTTCCCCTAAGACTTCTACAGCACCAGAATGATTTCTCAATATGGACATCGTTTTCCTGTAGTATGGTGCTCCTGCTATGTTATCTGTAAATATTAATAATAAACATGTAAATCAGATTAATGTAATGTACAGTAATGTAGTTAATGTAATGTAACATAGTGGGATTTACTTATATAGGGCTTTATACCAAAATGGTCTCAAAGTGCACATAAGTCATATTGTTTACACTGAGCCTAAGGTTTACATTCCTTATTCAAGAAGACTTGTTTCACAACAGAACCATAGGCGAGCATGCTGTTTGAACCAGCGCCGATATTTTGGCTGTACGTTGCAGCACCCCTGTCATAAGTGTTCGGCAATCCAACCCCCCACAGTGTTATTACCACCTCTTTGCATAACAATGGGAGATAATGATGAGTTTAACCATATTACATTTTTTAATCTGTCATTTTGTCACATCACAATATACACTGACTTTCATGTTGTATGTATTCTAACAAAATCTATACATCAAACCCAGTGCAAAGAGAATGCATGATAAAACAATGCATATGCAACAGAGGATGGCGGCACCTGACGGTGGTCAGGAGGAAGATTCATCCACGAACAAGCATGAACCCCCCATCATCTGACGGCAACATTTATTTTTAAAACATGATGATTACACATTCATTCTTGAAACTTATTTTAACAAATAACAAATTTAAACATCAACACTTATTAAGACATGATGACGATTAAGGAGAATTATAAGGTATACATCTTTTTTGTTTAATTTAATTTGTTTAATATGAATGTCTATTGATGTCATTTTTTTAACTGACAACAAAATATAACTTTGATTCAACGCAATACATAATGTAGCACAGTAGGATCAAAAAAGGTTTGAAAACTATAGTATAGAAAATTCAAAGTATATATTGTACCTTGTATTGATTTATAGCAATATCCAGATCCTAAAAGCGACGCGACAGCACCATATATTGCAATCTTGCCCAGTGTTTTGGTTGACATTGTGGTATATAAACTTGTTGCTTTGAGAAGTAGTTTACAGTTTTAATCCATGATGTCTTTATTGTATCTGAAATAAATCATAAAAGTATACAGTACATTGGTTTCAATTAAACCATATACATTTTGTACTTACACACATAGTATGAATACGGTATCCACTACTATATATTATGGCTATGAATTCACAACATGGTGACATACCTAAGGCCATGACAAACATTCAAGGGGAAAAGTTGTCCAAAAGCAAGGTCTCGGATAATTTTCTGCAAAATCAGCAGGGCTGCAAGCAGACTAGCTCCTGTCACCAATATAATGCAATTTTGGGTCTATTTTAAACTGATGTAAAACTTTCCAAAAAATGGTTATGCTCAAAGAATAAATAAGAAAAAATGTATATATAAGACTTTTTTTGTTAGCATGTGTTTTCTTTTATATTTACTTTTGCTATGTCTGTTAACAATTTATTAATTTGAATGCAACTTCCAGCGAAAACAATTTGAATCTTTATAGCACTTGCAGTACCCGATGCTACTGGGGGGATTGAATTCATCACTAGTCACCAAGCGCAAGCTCGGTGGTCTAGTGGTTAAGTCATCAGGCTAGATACCCGGAGGTTGTGGGTTCGGTTAATTTTTTTCACTGGTATTTGGGGATGTGCTAAGTTTTTAGTACGATGACATGTCAGGTGGGGCAAGGCATCACTCCTATGATATTTCCCGACTCAAATTCATATTTTTAAACAAGCATTACTTGGCTTGCTTGATGTTTTTTGATGGGTTGGTAAGCTTTTAGCTTATATGACCTATCCAAAACTTCTTACACAATTCATCAACAATAGATGTTTGGGGTTTCAGTGAATGAAAGTTCATAGCCCATAAAATTTAATGAAAATAAGATGATTATAATTGTCACAATGTATACATGTTGTTCTCTAAATTGTACTTCCTGAAAAAAAAAATGTTATTTTCTATAAGTACGAGATTGAAAATTTACAATTTAGGTTAACCCAGTGATCGTTTAGTAAAGATTCATTTAAACTAGTTGCCATTACAACTATAGATGTTGACCTGGCTAGGCCCTAACTAGGCCTATGCTTACCCTATAGCACATAAATTATAATTTAACTAGGCCTAGGCAAGTAAGGCAGGCAGGTAAGGTAAGTAGAGTAATAGAAAGAGGCTTCTCTCGAGCAAGCTACACTAGCCTCGGCCTAGCTCTCCTCCTAGGCTAGAGACAACAGAGACAAGAAAAAAAGCCTTCCCCAACCCAACACTACTCTACTCTAGAGTCCAGGCATTCATAGCACTGTGTGGGGGTCTGTGTGGGCTGGGTCAAGGCAGGCCTGTATCTAAAAAAACTGACTTAGGCTATGTACCAATCAGAAATTATTAACAAAATATTTTCTGAAATTTCTCACAAAATTAATAAGTCATTTTTGAGCTTCAAAATTGTTCAAATTCAACCTTTTTATGCATGGGCCACCTTTTCCTTTCCCACGAGGTATCGTGTTTACTTGATGCCAAACCAACCATGTCGAGCCTAGCCTTTGTGGCCCAGTGTCCTCGCGCTTATCGATTTCGAAATATTAGAGTATGGTTTGACGAGACCAGGTTCTTCAAAATAATTATTTATTTTGTGAAAAACTGATTTAAAATATTTGCATATATACTAGCTTTGATAGTATTTTATAAATGTTCTATCGTTTTAAAAAATATTTTTGTCAACTTACTTTGTTATTTGATATGTAATACTTTTAAAGTAAATTATCTTTAATTTAAAACTCTGGAAGAAGGACGTAGCGTAGCAACAACCAGCTAAACGATACCAAGGTTTTGTCAATTTAAGGCCTAGATTTGATATAAATTTTTATTTATCACATTACAAACTTAATTTGTGAGGAAATCGGAATTTGTACTTTATAGTGCAACCAGTGACTGGTTTTTGGTGTTTGAATTCTCATTGTATTTACTTCATTTTGATCTGCGAATGGACGGAGAAACAAGTCACGGCGGCTTGCGTGCCGTCTGTCCCTGCTGCTAATTTTGATCATAAACAACCAACAGGTACCTTTGCACTGGAACTTTAAACCAGTCGAAGATAGTGTACTAACTATTCCCCCTACCTAGGCCTAGCAGATAATTTTTAAGCTGTTGCGGACAATATTATCCGGCTATGTCAGATGTAAAGGTAAGAAACTTTAGTAGTAAAATGTTGTTTTTTTGGTTACATTCTGTCAAAATGTAACCAAAAAAAAAACAAACTGTCAAACTTTCTTGAACTTGCTTTGCTTACCTTTGTTTCCAAGAAGGCCTAGGTAGGCGTAGGCCTATTCATTTTAGTGACCTTTGACCAATTACATAATATAATAACAATATTTGCAAACTGCATAACATGGGGCTCATTGTATACAGTTATTAATAACAACTACTTTCATTACATGCACAACTTTTGTGAAAAGTAATAAATATTGAAAGGTTTGTATATCAAGTCTCAACTTAAGGATCCTTTTGTTTTGTAGTAGCCTAGTCTAGTATCCAACGACACTTAAACATTATACTAATATTAATTTTTTTTAAATATGTTTTTGATGAAGTTTTTTTGAACGTTGTGCAGGCTTAGGCTCGGCAAAATCCGAGTTCTTGATTGATAGGCCTACTAGGGCCTAGAGCTGAAACTTTGAACAGTCTTGTTATCTTTTAATGCACTACGACATTGGAACTATATCAATTTCCATTTTTTAAAGAGGCCTCTAATTTAATCATTGTTTTGGAATTTTGCGGAATTGGTAATGATAATAATAAATAATAATATTTTGTTTCTTCCTCAAGATTGGTTTGCATCTTCCATATTAATTCTAGTTTAGGGGTTAGGTGAAGGAGGAAAAACATACTGTATTTATGTGGTATGCAAAAAGTGCATGTGAAACCAGTAACAGGCAGTTATTTGCATGCATCGTCAAAAACTGCTGTATTTAGTATCGCAATTAATTGATAAGGAAAAAAAAGTATCCCTACTACCACATCATTTTTTTTAAGAGTGATTATCTAACATTGAAGTCTGCCTTATTCAGTTAGGGTGGGTTGGTTCTTACCTTAGTGGACTTTTTCTACATAAATTTTTTTGCCTGTAAAATATTTGTTCTAACCCATGTCATATTATTATTTTCCATTCAAATAAAAAAAAAAAACATTTTATATAGGCTCATAGAAATTTTAGTATTTATTGTGTGATACTATTTTGTTATGGTTTTGGTAGGTGCAGTTGATGAATTTTTCATGTACTATTTTTCAATTAATACAAAACAGTTACATTGACAAAATGAACTACGGTACCATGTTTTTTTCTTTTTATATACTTAGTACGTACCTGCCAAACATAATAAAGGCAAGAATCCAGAAAATCCTCGGTCGTTTTTGCCAGCCCTGCCAGCAGTGAGTATAAAAATATGTTGAGGAAATTTTTCTTATTTAATAATTTCACTTTATAAATTATAATGTTTTCATTAAAAGCATAGTCCAAATCATCCAACACCAAGATGAAATCTTGTATTTGTTTACTATATCTCATGAATATTAATTAGATTACATTGTACATTAATTCTGATTGTTCTTCATGTGAACATTCTCACATACAGTTCACGTAGCCAGACAAGCGTTAGTCGATTTTGGATAATACTTTTTTCACCGCATCTGCATAAGGGAAGTAGTCAAAAATATCGCACAGGTGGAAAAGAACAATAAAATTGTTTTATTACCTTATTAATATTTATGAGGTATAGCAACAAAGGTAGATAGAACGCCTTTTTTAACTGCCTAATCTGAATATTCTTCCATCTAAATTTTTGAATTCTTTAGTACTGTAGTAGTTAAATATTATTCTCGTTGTCAAAATCATTTCTATTGTATAATACTTTTTATTTTATAATTGATTAAATGTAATAGGAAAACATTTGTCTTAGTTGAGGAAAGATGATAGAAATGAAATTTGATTTTCAGATGGTTGATATTAATTGTTTATATTTTTTAAATTAAAGGCAAGGTCAAAACCAATATGGAAGACAAATCCACCCTCATTTATCCTGAACGGAAAACCACCTGAAGAGGAAGTTGACGACCTTAATGTCGTATCACAACTGGCCCCACGTACGTTTAGCCAAACTCAGAAATATGCAAATTATATTTGATCAGATAATGTATTGATAATTGATGATGATAGTAATAATAATATTGATGTAATAATCAGCAATTAGATTGACTGATAATAATTATTAATATTAATAAAGTTAATAATATTGAATAGGTAAATGTTATTATGATAATACTAACACTGTTTGAAACTATTTATTATTATTAATATAAGTAATAATTGCAATTACTGAAATTGAATAAAAATAAATTATAATGATTATTATAACAAAAAATCATACTTATAATTCATAATAATAATAACAACATTATTATATTAAATAAAATTTATTGGAAATTAAAACAAACAAATAAAAATGAACAAATTTTGGTTCAAATTCTAAAAACAATTAACCATCTAATTCTAAATATACTTAATGTACAAAAATGTTTTGGCCTGTAAAACAGTACTGATCTGTCACTTGTGTTAACCAATTACTTGAGGAAACCAATATTGAATCCATTCTAAATAAATTTTAATTGGTTCCTTTTCAACCTTTTTCAGGCGATTCAAAAAAAGGCAAAACAAAAAGAATTCGAACCAAATCCTGGGATCCAGAACAGCATGACGTCAGCGGCAAAAGTGGAAAGGGCTTCTCTCATCCAAGGAAGGACAGGGAGTCCTTTCGTAATGCACTTGTTAACATCATAATGTAAGTTAAAAAATGTAAATTAAAAAGGCATCACCAACCTGTAATTAATAAGGGTACATTCTGTTGATTGAGAAAGCCAAGGCTTGAAAAGTGTGTTACTGTACCTGTGGTTGACCCATCACAGATGTTGTTAAAGCATGTAAACAAAATTATGATTAAACTATAGACTGGATTCTTGAAGAGCATAAGTAAATACCATATCTTGATATTTATAGAATAAAGTAACTGATCCACTTGTACATGTTTGTGGAATAGAGTAACTTTAATTATTAAAAAAAAAATCTGAACTGCATGCAATAATATATTATACATGTTAATGGATTGCTTATGTGCCATGATCTCCAAAGTAGTCATGAACACTTGAAACTGTCAGAGGGCTTATAGGAGTGTCAGGGAAAACATTTAGGAAGTGCTTCTATATATAAAACTGAAGTGTGTCTATCTATAAATCTTGAAGGTACATTTTAATATGTATTTAATTTTTAGGCAACAAGAAAAAGATGAGAGCAGACCACCTTCAACAGTTACAGATGCGCCTATTGTAACCACAAGGTCTGGTTCACCGACAGCAGCTGAAAAAGACATCTTAGTAAGTTATATTTCCTAGCCTCCCTATAAAGTGTTATATTATATATTAAATTGAGAAAAACCCACCTATTTTTTAAAGTTACAATCCACATAATTATGCTGCAGTTACATCAACATCAATTATTTATCGTTGTTTACTTGTCTACAGAGATACTACTACTACATTCACAATGGCATAGACACAGAGCATGTGGCACCAATGGAAGACTCGTGGCTGGAGAATGTCAAGCGTTTGGTGTCTGAAGACCTCAAGTGTGGACATGCTTTGACTATTGATAACTTATCAGATGAAATGAGGGATGACTACCTTCTCAGCGTTAAGAAGGCTATAGGTAAACCTAAAGTTTTATACGCAAATACAAACCTCTTTTGAAAAATATTTAAAGAATGAAGCCTTTTCAACTAGGACCAGGTGTTCAGCATTTCAGGGCCCTATTTAAAAGAGGATGGGGAGTGTAATTACGGCTCATGATATTCTTGTCAGTGGCGGATTCAAAGGGGGCCCGGCCCCCCCCCCCCCCCCCCCTCAATTTTTCAGAATTATAAGAAAAAATGGAGAAACAAAGGAAATTAAATTTAAGTCTGAGAGTGCCATTTCTGGCCACCTAGAGGTGCCACAATTATAAAAAGGAATTTTACCTCAGCCCCAACCATGGTAGTATTAGTATCTGTGACAGTCCTTTCATGGGCCCCCTCTGTTTTATAATTCCCGGATCTGCCACTGGTTGTATTCTCCACTAAATATTTGTAAACTTTCATGATCTCTTACATTTCACCTCACATTCAGTATTTAGGTGACTCTGACATTTTTTTTACTTTAAAATCTGTAATAATGATTTTTTTTTTCAGTTGATTTTGTGCTGCGGGATCCCAGAGAGAAAAGTGAGGACAAAAAAGAAGAGTTGACAGATGCTAGATCTGAGCTAGCTGTTGTTCCTAAGCCCTGGAAGAAATCATTCCTCGCAGCCCAATCCCAAATCACCCAGGAGCTGAATGTTACTAACCCTACCATGCTGCAGGTTCTTGAGTTGTGGCATGTTTCATTTGGGTAAGAAAGCAGTTGTTCAACGCGATATGGTGAATTGTCAATTGTGCGATGTTATTGAAAGACCCCTCATCAAATAACCATGTCCTTCAATAGACTGTGAAAAAAGTATGATAATGCTCAGGGGCAGATCCAGAGATGTCTGAAAGGGGAGCTGAAAATGGGGCTGATCGAGACAACACTATCCTGGGGGTCCAAGCATTCCCCTGTGAAAATGTTGTTTCTAGACGCCTAAAAATAACCTCTGAGGCGTTTTGGGCGATCAATTGTTGCTTTTTGCTTTCTTTCTTTTTTTTTTACTTTCCAAAGGGGCTGACCACCCCACCCCCCCTCCTTTCAAAATCCGTCCCTGATGCTATTAATAATGATAACAATAGATGGATACATTTCATTATCATATAATGTCATCAATATTCACAATTAGAATTACCATTATTAATACCAAGGCAACTTTAATTTTTTGTTAACAGTGTCAGCTTCAGACCTGATAAAAATCTTTGATCATCATTTTTATTATTTTTCATAAGAAAATAATGGTAGATATAATTATTCATGAATGATGTATGATGGTTATATTAATAATACTATTTAATATATGAATTAAATGGTTCCCTTTTTTTCTTCATTTGTATAGTAAGCTTAGATTAGTGGATATAGAGGAGTTTCACAACAAACCAGATTCCATGGAATTAGCGATCTTCCAGAACCTTGTAATGAGACATATAGAATCTGCAAAAGAAAAACTTCTCAAAAAGTAAGTACAAATCAAGTAGTATGTTAAATAATATGAGTCTGATCATGAATAAACCAACCCAACTTTCTTTTTTTGGAGCACCCTCAAAATAAAATTGAATTGTCCACATACACATACCTCTATACTCAGTTATTAAAAAAAAAAATGTGAGTATGCATTCAATGCAATTTATCTAATAAATCTTATTTCTATTTTTAGATGGTTTCCAGAGGTACAGAACATATACTACCAAGGTAACAGAAGGAAGCTCGTACCAAGTAACCACAATGGACGCAAACTGGAGGCATTCTTTAACTGTGCCGCAACCTTGATGACAGCTCAGTTACAAACATTGTGTCTTGAGTCAATGCAAGACTTCACAGATCTCATCAGCCAGCCAAAAGTATGTTTAATTAGCATGTTAGATATTACATTATAATGTTTGCAAATGTCTTGTACCAATTTTATGTTCTTTAAGAACTTTGAGTAGTGTCTTCGTAGTCTAGAGGAAGAGGCAGGAAGTAAGAACAGATTACATATAAAGTATTAATAAAACATATATATGTTAGGTAGGTTATGCCACACGTTGTTACATCTGCATGTAAAATATGTGACAAACAATCTCAGGTTTAGTAAAGTGTGACGACACAATGCTGTCAGCTCATTATTGGCAGAAGTTTGAGTGGATCAACGTGAAAAACGATTTCTTGTGTGCTCTTCTTGGTTTTGCATCTTCTTTGAATAGCCAACAATCGTGTGTGCCAGACTAAAAACTTAGAATCAGATTCTTACTGTATTTCTATTCTACAGATATTGTTAAATCTATTAAATGAGACCAAAATTAAAGAAGTGTTATATCATATATGTTAAACTTATATTTTCTATAAAATTGCATTTATGTATCTTCTAGGATTCAACCAGAGCCTATGAACATTCTGGATTTATCCAACGTCTTGTGTTGGATGGAACAGACATCAAGTTTGAGCCAACATTTTCCGACTTTGAAATTGTGTTGTTAAATGTGTACGACGTGATGTTGAAGGCTGTTGGTGTGATTCCACGTGTGGAGACCAAGCTTTACTCAGAATGGGTATTGATGAGGATTTTTTACATTAATTTTGCAAAGTAGCATTCTCATTTAATAATCATATTTAATTTATGTTGTAGTTGTAAACACAAAACAAGAAATATGGCCATTTATAGAAATATCATAAACTTGCACAAAATAGGAATTTGTACATAAGTCACATGAAACCTGGCAAGCTTAATTAGACGAGTGTATACCAGGTTTCAGCTCAAAAATATGTAAGTAAATATATTATTGTAAGACTATGTATTCTAAAAATTATGTTAACCGTGAAGACCTTACTTATTAACAACAATGTTAAAAGTTACTTAATTTCAAATGAGCCTTTCCTTCTTTTGTAGCAAGTAAAAATAATCTTTTCAGTATTTTTGCAGTGTTAATAAGGAATAGAAAGATGAATTACACTTTTCAAACTTTTTTCAAACAAATTTTAATGTATTAACCTAAATAAACAGATAAATATAAGTAGAGATTTGATCAAATACTTATGCAATATCCATAGAATGGCCCAAAATCGAAGGCAGTACTCCGTCCAATCATTTTGGAAGAGATTTTGAATCGTCATAAAGAGGAGATCAAAAGGGTAGTAGAAGCAGAAAGCACAAGACCCATTGAACACCTCAAGATATACGAAAAGTACAACTTTCTAGTCAGTAAACAGGTATGTATTATATGAGGAATTGTTTATTAGTAAAACGTGCAAAACAATAATTTCATTAAGTAGAAAATACTGAAGGCAGTAGAATTTCCAGCTTTCAGTAATTTGTTACCGTAATTCTACTCACAGTCTTTTTAAAAATTTAATCTTTGTCTAGGCTGAAGCTGATGTGGAACAGTTCCTCTCAGAAGAGCATAACTTTGACGACTACACAAAAGAAGTGGAGAAGTACCGTAACTTAGTTGATGAAATCTCATATAACACCAGAAAGGTGAGACACATCATCGTTATACAGACTTATTATGACAATATAAGAAATAATATATATATCACACATTTGTAAAGCCCCAGTATCATTAAACTGAAGTAAAAATCAAAGGTGTTGATATGTTGTTAAAAAGATGTGCTATTTAGTGATTTATTGTACAAATTTGTTTTCCTGTGAGAAAAATATAATTTTACTTTAAAATGTATGAGCCCTTTCAAAGATTTTTTGAATGATAACCAAATAATATATATACTTCAAACTACAAATAATATATAAACTTCCTTGCTTACGTGGTAACAGACTCTCTTATTTATAAAATATAAAAGCTTCATTTAGTTACGTTGATTGCATGATTGTCCAAGTGATGCAGAATTTGCACATTTTGGCACATACAAGGGCAATCTACTATGCTAAAATTTATTCACAACAGTCAGAAGAAGCATCGGAAGCATAATGCTTCCATTTCCAGCTGTTTTTTTAAGTAAGACATTTGCCTCTTGACATACATTCTGCCTCTCATAGAAAAGTCATAACCATGTGTGGTAAGGTTAGCACATACAATGCATGCATTAATACAGTAGAAAATGCATATGCAATAGAATATATGCATATAGAGTGAATAAAACTGATTACGAAAGAAATTTTGTGTTTAACTTTGTCACTCGGACTACTCTCTTTCCTCCCTCCTTTGAGTTCATACTTTCAATGATACTTGTTCAGTTATATTGGATGTATAGATACAGTAGATACTGGTTATATTTGCATGATTAGATAGATAATGTAAACTAGAATTTCATTGTTTGTTAACTCTTTATCTTGTTGCTTTTAATCTGTTGGCAAATCTTACTGCTTGTTTACTGCATGTTTTGTTCTTTAATGCTTGTTGTCACAGGATCGTCAACAAAAGAGAAAGGTTTGTTGATACGGATATTTGAATCACCACCAGAATTTTCAGCTAATTTACATTTTTTTTATATCACAATAGACATCACTTCCACTGCCTCCATTGTTTGCATCGTCACCACCACTGACGAAACATGTTTATCATCACTAATACCTCATCTAGGACAAACCTTTTTTAAAAATACCTGCTACACCTCTACCCTTTTATATATTGCATAAAGCAGAAATTGTCATATATATGTATAATATATATATAAATGAATATAAAGTTGTCAGTTCAGGCAACGTATAGTGCTCGATGCTATGCAGAGCGGTATAATAATAATAATAATAATAGAGGAAGTAAAGCTGCTTTCATGGGATTGTTATCAGTTTTCTGCATTTGGTACATTTTTGTTATGTGAGAGAGATTAGAGGTTATTTTAATTGTGTATAAACTGTGGAAGGTATTCACATCGTTCTCCAAGCTTCTCCTTTAAAAGCTCCCTTCAAATATTCCATTAGTGTTTCCATGGGTCAAGTATTACACTCCCCTTATATCCTTTGGACCCTTTTCCTCCACATTTCCTTCAATCTCTTTTTAGACTCCCACGCTTTCAAAATGCCATTTTTGTACTGTAACCGTAACCATCCCATTTTTCCCCTACTCTTGCTAAAATATTTTTTCCTTTCTCTTTACTAAGTTTTTTTAAAGCTGTTTTCTAAGCCACATTTCACAACTTTTACTGAGAACTTTTTTCTCTTCTCCACCCTGTGATGGAATGCAATGCAGCGAATACGATCGTCATCAGATACTACCATAATCAGTTGATAGCTTGAGTAACAAATGATATGGACCAATATATTCAATGTTATGATAATAATAATAGTAATGATAGTAATGATAAATTAATAATAATAATAGGAATGATGTTTTTGCCCTGTGTGCTTTCATGCTGAATACTCAGTATGTTCCCAAATACTTAGGAAAAAATCTTTAAATGGATTCGGATGGGAATCGAACCCACAACTTCTACATAACTAGCCTGGTGTCTTAACCACTAGACCACTGAACTTTTTAGTGACTAGCGTTAAATCTGATCTCCAAATTGCAGCAGGTATTGCAAAAACCTCATTTAATAACAATAATAATGACATAAGTTTTTTGTATGTTAGGTGATACGCCTTGGTATGTTTGAAGTACACTGCGATGAGCTCATCCGTGCATTGTCAAAGAGAGCAGATGCACTAGCTTCAAAACTATTGGCTAGGATGTGCAAGGATCATGCTGAAGCCAATCGAAAGTAAGCAAAATACCAAAGAATCCATTCGTTCATCATTTACATCTTGCAGTTATTTTAAATACTAGTTTAGAATATACATTATATTTTTCATATTGTTTTTAACAGGTTGTGTGAGGAGTATGAGGTGATTGCAGAAAAGGCCCTGACGACTCCTGCCAACACAGAACAGCTGATGGAACTGAAAGTATATATAGAGAATGTTGAGAAGAAGACAGTGTTCGAGCTTGAGAAGGAGCTGTACCTTAGTAGAGACCGACTTGCATTCTTGGTTGACTACGCCAGCTTCTCTCCTGCAGAGATGAGACTCAATAGCAGTACCTTCCAGTGGAACGATCGCATGCAAGAGATTTTTGATGAACATAAGCAGATAGTCGCTGAGAAAAAGAATCAATACCAGGAAGGTCTGAAGGTGAGTTGACAAATTTGTTGTTTATTGAAATAACAATGGACCTTTCCGAAGTGTCAATCAAACTAAACAACTGACCAATCAGAACAGAACAACAAATATGCGCACATCTCACAAACGCATGTGTTTATAAATGTTTTACATTGTCATTTTGTGGGACTTCAGCAAGAATATCCAAAGGGCCAGGGCCTAGCAGAAAAGGTCCATTATTAAATGCTTGCGCTGTACATTATAATAAGAGGATACCATTTTTTCAGTTTGTACAATTGTAGATGGTTCTGAAAAAAATTGCTTTAATTTTTTAATGAAAATTGTTTAAAAAAAATATTGTTGATTGATATTGAAATACTACTGACAGAAGTCAGTACTATTTATAGACAGGTGTCGTCATTCATTTTAGTATTTATTTTACTTATATATTTGTTTTTTCATTTATTCATTTGTTTATTATGTATTATATATATTAATAATTATTAATAAACCAAGGTGTCCATTGATATAAAAAGTATTGGTAAAATTTAAAAAGGTAGGAGAATAACCCATAACTCACAGCGTCATTGTGCTGAATTGCATACATCAGAGACTACCTAGTCGCCGTTAGATGTAGAATAATATAAAAAATACTTTGATGTAAAAAATAAGATTTTTATAGTGCACACATACAAAAAATGTGGAGTTTTATTTGATATTATATCAGTTTCTAGTAATAATATTTCTTGTTATCAGTTACGGCGTGACAGATTCAATGAAGAGCTGGACGGCTACAGCAAACAGCTGGAAGAGTTCCAGACATTTGGTGACTTGTCTGAAATTAGTCGTTACCTCAAGAAAGCTCAGGCTCTAAGTACCAGACTAGATGCAGCTGCAGAAAAGGTAGGCTAAGCAAGATGTGTTATGTATTCACTTTGCTTGTGGAGCAGGGAGTGTTTCTATTGTTGCTATTAATCCGGAGAGCTTCTTTATTTATTATTTGTTTTTTAGGTAATTTCTAGTTAGTTTTTTATTCCTCTGTTATATTAATTAGCACTTACATGCTCAATGCTGGTATTTAACATCTATCTAGATTGATGGATTCAATACTGAAGAGGAGTCATTTGGTTGGCAGACATCATCTTACCCCAAGAGGTTGACCATTATCAATACACTGCAGCCTTACTATAAGCTTTATGAAACAACTGTGGAATTCAATAACAAACACAAGTAAGCAAGACTATGAAGGCTCACAACTTTATAAAACTGCAGTAAAAATCATATCATTTACACTAATTATTATAATATGGGAATACTTACCTGGACAAACCACCTTTGCAATGTTCCCTTAAGTAGGACACCCTCTTATCTGCTACATGCTCCTTCTAATCACCTACCGCTTTAGTACATGCTTCCTACGAAGGACTTAAACCGCTCTGGAACATACTTCCTACAAAGAACTTACACCACTCTGATACATGCTTCTCACCATGGAACTTACCGCTCTGGTACATGCTTCTAACCTTTGCACTGTACTAAACGATTATGATTTCAAATGATATTTCTTTTTTCAATAGGAACTGGATGGATGGAGCCTTCCAAGATGTTGACCCTGACTCTGTTGATGCAGATGTAGGTAACTACTGGCGTACCTTATACAAGCTGGAGAAGTCCTTCAACGACGTTCCAAATGCCAAGAAGATTGCTTCCAAGATTAAGGAAAAGGTGGAAAGTTTCAAGGAAAACATCCCATTGATCAGTTGCCTGTGTAATAATGGAATGCGGGACAGACATTGGGAACAAATGACTGACATAGTTGGTTTTCCAATTAAACCAGATGAGGTAAAGTTCTTTGCTGATCCACAATTGTCATAATATTACAAATAATGTGCTTAGTTTACATTTTTTCCAACAGTGGCACTTAAAAATATATGATGCATCAAAAAATAATCCAAATACACAGTTCTGCAATTGGAAAAGTGCTTGTTTTCAAGATGGAACAAGTCTGTTTTGAAAATAAATACATAATCTTGTAAGAAATTGCAAGCTTTGCCAATATTCTCAATAATTTTTGATTGACTAATTTTTCTTTGCAGGACACTACTTTATCTAAAATGTTGGACATGAATCTAGAAGGCTATCTCTCTAGATTTGAGGGCATTAGTGAGGCAGCTAGTAAAGAATTTTCGCTGGAGAAAGCAATGGAGAAGATGGTTTCAGAGTGGGCAGAGGCAAGTCAATTCTATAATATCTTTATCAAGAAAGAAGTGTTCAGCTAGCAAAATCAATTGAACCGTAATGACTATTTCATAAACATATACAGTACCTGCATAAACTGACAAATACCAGGTGGTTTTTGTGGAACTTATGGAATTGTGCCGTATATGAGAACCCAATCTAAACACCATCATCTTCTTTACGCCATCAAGTGTGGATGAACTTTGGAAAATTAAGCAAAGTTTAAGTAATGGTTTTTTCAGATGAGTATCTCACTCATAGACGAACAGCATCACTCACTGATTTGTTTAGAGCCATATAAAATAATGCAATATATCACTACTAATCTGCATATTGCAATTTTTGTTATATAAGATCTTGTTTATGAATGATAAATTTCATCCACATCATTTCATTGTTTATCTCTTTACTATTGTTTTCATTTATTCTCTTCTAGATTGAGTTTGTTATGATTCCGTACCGTGAGACTGGCACCCACATTTTGTCTTCAGTGGATGATATCCAACTGCTCCTTGATGATCAGATTGTCAAGACACAGACCATGAGAGGTTCTCCATTCATCAAACCCTTTGAAAATGAGATCAGGTCAGTCTTTGTCTTGTACCAGAATAACGGTCCATTTGACCACTTTGTAGCAACAGTAGTAATATAGTTTTAGACCATTATCTGTATCACTATTATAGCCAGCTACAGTTGTTTCAATTGTCTACATGCTGCTAATAACAATTTTTCTGTGTATATTTTAGGGACTGGGAAGCTAAGCTGATGCTGCTACAGGAAATACTTGATGAGTGGCTGAAAGTGCAGGCCACCTGGCTCTATCTGGAGCCCATCTTCAGCTCACCTGACATCATGTCTCAGATGCCGGAAGAAGGTCGAAGATTCTCTACTGTAGACAAGAACTGGAAGGATATCATGAAAGTTGCTGTAGTGGTAAGTTGAAAACATTTTACACACAGTTCTATACACTCCCTTTTTTTTTTTTATTTTGAAGAAGAATAAGAATATGAATAAGAATGCCATGCAGAAAACATATAAGTATACCTATAGATATACAATGAAAAATACCAATTAAAACCACCAATAAGAATACCAATAGAATACTTAATTCCAATAAGAATACCAATTAGAATACCAATAAAATACTAATAATAATAATACCAATAAGAATACCAAGTAGTAAGCCAATAAAGGATCCAGATAAGATTACTAAAGATATCGTAACTACATTTTCTATACTTTATTTCTGAAGGACAAACATGTCTTGGCTGTGACAGAAATTGAGAAGATTCTAGAAAGATTGAAGAAGTCTAATGAACTTTTGGAACTTATTCAAAAGGTAACACAATTATGTTTCAACTTAATTTACTATTTGTTATATGGTTCTTGTCATCCATGGCTCTGGTCAAACCTTCAATGTAAGTATTTATAAAGTAGCTGCAAACAGTGCCCTCATTATGATGTTTTCACCACAGTCTTTTAGCACTGTTTTCTATACACATGTACTGCTTGTACAGTAAAGATTACACATACCATTGCTTATAATTTAAACAATATATTTTTTCCAGGGTCTCAATGACTACTTGGAGAAGAAGCGACTGTACTTTCCACGATTCTTCTTCTTATCTAATGAGGAACTTCTGGAAATATTGTCCGAGACGAAAGACCCAACTCGTGTTCAACCTCATCTTAAGAAGTGCTTTGAAGGCATTGCTAATTTGGAATTCACTGATATTCTTGACATTACCCACATGAAGAGTAGTGAGGGAGAAGTTGTTGCCCTGAAGGACACTATCTCAACAGCAAAGGCTAGAGGGCAGGTAGAGAAGTGGCTTCTGGAGCTTGAGAACCTGATGATCACCAGTCTTCATAAGGTAAACCAAAGGGATATGTTGAATATTAAAAATAATGATGATAGTGATGGGTGATAATAATGAAAATGGTGGGGATGAAGAAGGTGAATGATAAAAGGATTTGGATGATGATTGAATTGAGGAGAATGTTGAAGATTTATGATGATGATGATGGTGTTGATAATGTTGATAATGATGTACACTGATAAGGTTGGTGATGATAAAAATGATAATGATTTTGATCTTGATGCAGTTAATGCTGTTGGTGATTTTGATGATGATGCTGTTGAAGATTATGGCTATATATAAATGAAGGTTAATAAATCCTCAAGTACCATATTTTTATCTCTGATTTCTAAACGGTTAAATTATTTTTACAGCATATTGTTCTGTTGCTCTCCGTTTAGGTAATTGGAGAAGCGGATGTAGCTTATGCTAACAATGAGCGAGTAAAATGGGTTGTGAGTTGGCCCGGTCAGGCTGTCCTATGTGTGTCACAGCGCTACTGGACCAGTGACATCCACAAGGCAATCCAGGCAGGCCAGAAAGCCTTAGAAGACTACTTACAGCAGAACAACAATCAAATCGATGACATAGTTGAACTTGTCCGTGGCAAGCTGTCCAAGCAAAATCGTACCACTCTTGGAGCGCTTGTCGTACTGGATGTCCATGCCCGTGATGTGCTTGCTTCCCTGGTAAAGCATCAAGTGTCGAATGAGAATGACTTCGAGTGGCTGAGCCAGCTTCGTTACTACTGGCAAGATGGTCATATGTTGACAAGGATGATCAACTCTATGTTGGCCTATGGTTACGAGTACCTAGGAAACTCTGGTCGTCTGGTTATCACCCCACTTACAGACAGGTGTTACAGGTATGTTGCAGTATCATCTAATATCTATCACCAAAGAGGATTGCAAGAGGTCCGACTGCCCTGATTTTGTATGCGCACAATGAAACGGTAAAAAAAAGTACTACTGCGAGATAGGGAGCACCTTATTAGGATTTGAATAGAATTCAAAACTCACCTTTTGAAGGACGCCCTCTAGTTCATGGTAGTACTGTTAGGAATAGGATAGCGTTCCAACAAACCCCAAGAGTCGGACCACTTGCAGTTCCATACTCTTTGCTATCAACTACTTACCATCTAAAGGGTCAGCAGTTCTTACCAGAATGAAACTTTTATTCTACTTTTTAGAACTCTGTTCGGTGCCCTCCATCTTCATCTTGGAGGAGCTCCAGAAGGGCCAGCTGGCACTGGTAAGACAGAAACCACCAAAGATTTGGCAAAAGCTGTTGCAAAGCAGTGCGTTGTCTTTAATTGTTCTGACGGTCTTGATTACATTGCTCTGGGCAAGTTTTTCAAGGGGCTTGCATCTTGTGGAGCCTGGTCATGTTTTGATGAGTTCAACCGTATTGATTTGGAAGTGTTGTCTGTTGTTGCACAGCAGATTCTTACAATCCAAAGAGGTAGGTTCCTCACTGACTCTCCCATGTCTCAGAAATAAATTTCAGAAGCTATTGTACATTGTACCTACTGCCTATGATGCCGGAGCAAACAGTAATAATTATCTACATTAACTGTCAATGTTCCCTCAAATAGGAACCACTGTTACAATAATAATAATACCAATATTTGCCCATCCCAAAAACATAAGTGTATTATTTGCCTGATTGAAAGCTATATTTCTGGTGATGTTTAATTCTGGTGATGTACATAAGTTGTGACTGTTGTTGTCATCGTTTGTTAGTTCTTACATGTATTTTTGGTGAAGTACTTTTAATCTGGGTATGTTTGTCAGTAAATTAATTTTCAAATATATGTTTGTTGTTGACTTATTTCTGATCTAAACTAATTTGTCTTTCTAGGTATCAGTGCTGGTGCTGAATCCCTCCTCTTTGAGGGCACTGAGATCAAGCTTGACCCCACATGCTCGGTCTTCATTACCATGAACCCTGGCTATGCAGGTCGCTCAGAGCTTCCAGACAACCTAAAAGCCTTGTTCCGTACGGTAGCTATGATGGTTCCTGACTATGCTATGATTGCGGAGATTGTGCTGTATTCATGTGGTTTTGTCAAGGCTCGCCCACTCTCTGTTAAGATTGTCGCCACATATAGGCTCTGCTCAGAACAGCTGTCTTCACAACATCATTATGATTATGGAATGAGAGCAGTCAAGTCTGTGCTTACTGCAGCTGGTAACTTGAAGGTATTTGCAAAAGTGTATTTATTATTTGATTATGGGGTACATTTTCAGTAGCATACTTACCTGTTTACTCAGAGTGTCTTTTTATGAGGTTTAGAGAGTAGAGTGGTTTTCAGACATGTGAAAAAAATCATGGTCTGTGACAGGATTTCAACCCAGGACCTTGAGATTAGAGGGCAAACATCTGAACGACCGAGCCACAACTCCACTACCATCTTTGGTATTGTAAATTAAATACACACTTTAATATTGTTATTGAAATATGCATTTCAATATTTTTATTGAAACATACACTTTAATATTGTAAATGAAATATACACTTCAATATTGTAAATGAAGTGAACACTTCAATATTGTAAATGAAATATGCAAAATTGGCATGTTTGCCCTCATCATTAATTTTTCAAAATAATATTTTTACTATTGTTATATTTTTATTTAAATCCATAATTTTATTAACTTGCAGTTGAAATACCCAGAGGAAGATGAAGATATTCTGATGTTGCGCTCAATCAATGATGTCAACTTACCTAAGTTTTTGTCACATGATCTCCCATTATTTGAGGTAAACAATCTATAAACTAAATACTCCTAATTACCATGCTGGTTATATAGTGATAACAGTAGCCATTATTATTATTTCATACATAGTTAATACTATGTAGAGATTTGTTGGAGTACCATTAATAAATTTGACAAAAGTTACATGCTCTACACATCTTTTATGATCTAGGTATAACACATAACACAATCAATGTTCCTCTGTAGTATACGCTATATCTTTTTCTTTATATTAGGGTATAACATCTGACTTGTTCCCTGGTGTTACGTTACCAAAGCCGGACTATGCGGTCCTTATTGCCGCCATTCAGGAGAACTGTGACAAAATGAATTTGCAACTTACAGATACTTTCCTCGATAAGATTCTACAGGTAAGAGTAATTGTTAATATATTTTTTTTAATAATTTTAGGGTAAAATATAAATAAAAATGATAAACTAAAAAAAAACCTTTAGTATTATTCCTGATCTCAAACAAAAGCATTGTACAGTGTTTCAATGTTTTAATCAGTTAAAAATGAATAGATTAATCAGTTACTACCATTAGCCAAATCTTTTTCTTCAAAAGTAAAGTGATATATGCCATGTTTCTCTTTGCAAATCATACGTAAAAAAATATTGCTTATTGCATTTAAAAAGAAAAACTGAATTAATAATGCTTAAAAGTTATAACATACCTCTTAAAGTTAAAAAATAACTATATAAATTATATTTAATGAGATAGAAATACTTTATTTATTTATTTATTTTTTTTATTTCAACCATCTTTAAAGAGGGTAACCCTTCCAGTTTAGCCCAGTAGGTTAACTGATATTCAGGGGCCCTCTTTAATAAAATTAAAGACCAGTACAAACAACATCATTACAACATAATAATAATAATAATAATAATAACAATAATAATAATAATAATAATAATAATAATAATAATAATAATAACATATAAAATACTTTGAATTTAACACTGTTGTTGTTACTTATTTTTGATAATTGGACAGAAAATTTAATTTTCATAATGAATTTTATTACCTTGAATCAGATATACGAGATGATGATTGTCCGCCATGGTTTCATGATTGTTGGCGAACCATTTGGTGGGAAAACAGCAGCTTACCGAGTATTGGCAGCAGCTATTGGGGACATTGCAGAAAAGGTAAACATATTGTAAATAGAAATAATTTAGATACCATTTTAAAACAACATTGGAGAATTTTGTTTAAGAATTGACTGAACTTATTAATTTTTAGGCAGGCGTTTCAGGCAACATTGCAAAAAAATTAATTTTAATGAGCTGTAGAATGCAATATTACATATTTTTGATTAATATGCATGAAGTTAGCCAATCACGTGATTTACAAAATCAGTCATGCATACGATATCCCACATCAAATTTGATGTGGGAAATTGCACGCATGAATCGTTTGCCCAGGCCCTAATTCGAAAAAAAAAGAAATCGAGTATGTGACGCCAATTAAATTAGGTATGGCGCGCACTAATTGCAATAAAGAGTGAGTAACCTAAAATTAGGGCCTGGAACCCAGGCTACCCTTTTATATTCACAGTCAAATTGCAAGTAAATTTGCTGGCAACAGGGTGAAAATTAATTACAAACCAAGTTTAAATATAAGAGAATTGAAAATGGGAATTTAAAAGAATTGAACCATGATTTTAAGATTCATAAGTTAGGAACCTAACCAACCGAGCAATAAATCTCCAATATTACTTCAAACCTTTATCAAATTATTATTTAATTTATCCTTGTTGTCTAATTCATGTTTTTAGGGCTTGTTGGATGAAAACAAGGTACAGATTATAGTGATCAACCCAAAGTCAATCACCATGGGTCAGTTATACGGTCAGTTTGACCCAGTTTCACATGAATGGTCAGATGGTATTTTAGCCATCAGCTACAGAGCATTTGCATCTTCAACGGTAAGATTGTTTCCTACTTTGTCCAAACAACCACGGTCTATTTTGTGATTTAAAATTTAAAAATGATACTGATTTTTACTCTTCACCAATTTTTACAATTTTATAAAGTGAATTTTTATTTCTTTTTTTGAATCAAGACACCGGATCGCAAGTGGTTGATCTTTGATGGTCCTGTGGACGCCATTTGGATCGAAAACATGAACACAGTATTGGATGATAACAAGAAACTTTGTCTAATGAGTGGTGAGATTATTCAGTTGGCTCCGACCACTAATCTCATTTTTGAACCTATGGATTTGGAAGTAGCCTCCCCAGCTACGGTGAGTCAAAATTTAGTTTTCAAACCTATAATCGCAACAGCATACATGTTATCAACAAATTGTTATAGTTACAGAAGTCACTCTGCACAATGTGTAACCTTCCCTACTGAGGAGTGTTTTAAGTCACACAGTTGTACATTCGCTGCAAACCAAATCAATCAAACCAATCATAGGGTGGATACAAATTGTTAAAAACAGGGTGGAATACAAGGGTGTGGTACATAGAGCTCCAAATATTGAAAGTGCCATTTTAGCAAACAAGATAGGGAGAAAGTGCATCACATTTATGGCCCTCCAGATTTTCTCACTGCTAATATATTCATTATAGAGTGACTTGGTTAGTGGACTTGATTCCTTGATATTCATTTCATTCCTACAAGATTAATCATTTCATGCTACAGTAGTATGCCTGATATGAGTCCTGTATGCTTGCAATATAAGTAGCCCGGGGCATTGTATACTTTTCATCATTGTCCACACATTGAAACAATTGTAAATGCATCTTTGATTGGTAACTCCCTCTGTAATGCTGATATTCTTTATTGCTATTCATTAATAATGTACCTTATTATCTTTGAATATGGTTTTTTAGGTGTCGCGTTGTGGTATGATCTACATGGAGCCTCACATGCTAGGCTGGCAGCCCCTCATGACTTCGTGGCTGAACACTTTACCAAGCACTCTAAGTGACGTTCACAAAAAACTCATCACAGATAATTTCAATCGATCTGTACCAGCCATGCTGCAGTTCATAAGGAAAGGAGGTGTAAAGGTTAGAAATAGATTATTGCCACTTATAGCCATTATCTGAAAGTGAATAATTGTGATTTAATTATGCGTGTTTACTTGTGTTCCCAACACTACAAATCTGCCAGTTCCCGAGTAGAGGCTAGGCTATGCCTATAAGCCCACTTGAAAATGATATCGCATTTTGAATATGGTGCAGATTTTATTATAGTATGATAAGCTGGAATTGGAAATTGAGGGGAAAGGTAGTCGAGAAAAGCCTAAAATTTTGTGGCTAGACAATCGTGGGAGTGAGCTGTGGTGGTTTTGTGGTTGATTACTTTACAATTCAGTGATCTTTTTATTTAAATCCTATAAACTTCAGGATATTTTTCTTATGTTTGCCTTATATGAGAGTTATAGTGTATTTTTCAATACCTATTTAATTAAATAATAATGGTGGATAACGATGAGGAGTATGATAATAATTTTAAAGGTAATGTTTATAACTGATGATTTTGATTATTGGAGATGATGATAATGGTGATGAAAATAAAAGTGATGTTAATTGGTAGGATAGTTTTAATATTTCACAAAATACAGATAATAATTTCTTCTGTAGAATATCTTACTTGTTCATATCTCAAATTTTACACATCCTTTTTCTATACTTCAGGAGCTGTCACCTACCAGTGATGCAAATCTTGTGAAGTCTCTGATGAATTTGATGGACAGTCTGATGGATGAGTTCAAAGATGAAGCAACCTTTAACAAGCTGGATGAAAGAGAAGTGATTTCATGGCTAGAGGTAAAGAAACATAGTCATTAAATTGAAACAATGGACTCTTATGAAAGACAAATCCTTGATTTACAAATTATTTATACAACCCTAAAAAATACACCTTAAGTATCTTGAATATCATGAAACAGTTTGAAACAACGTTTATATAATCAATATCAATATTGTGGTTTGGTAATATACTGGATTATGATTTTATTTGAAAATGATATTGTGCAAATGGTGATTCAAAATATGTATAAAATAAAAGTTTGATGTGTTAAATGCATGAGGTGTGTCAAATTATTTGCTTTCAGAAATAAATGCAAATTCATCTTTAAATTTATTTTGAACATTGTATAGTATGATAAAGATTAAGTTATGGTTTACAGTTTAATACAATATGTATTAATGCGTATGTTACTGATAGCCTAAAAGTAATAAATATTAACAACAATACCCCAGTTATAATTTTAAATTCTTATAAACCGTTCCAATTTTCCAGTGTATGTATCAATTTTCGTTTGTGTGGTCGATTGGTGGAAGTGTGTCTGATGCAGGTCGAATCAAGTTTGATGCTCTTTTCCGTGAGATCCTTGATGGTGGTCTGTCCGAGGAATCGCGTACTAAAAACCACATTTTGGAATTTGTTGACCCACCACTCAAGCCGTTCACAGTACCGTTCCCAAAAGAGGGACTTGTTTATGATTACAGATTCATTAAAGAGGTTTGTATATAGTGTTTATCTATAAATAAATAGACAATTAAAAAATTAAAATATAAGAATAGTTTTTTTTATGTGTTGGTAATGTTAATATAAATTGATATTATAATTCACTGTATTGTATTACACAATATTATATTACCCTGTTTTTATTGTTCTGTATATTATAATGTTAATAGGATAATTGACATTTTATTGATATTATAATTATTTATAATCTTCCCATCGGAAGTCTGTGATCTACATTTCTTATTATCTTCTGTAAAATAATCAAATCCCGTATAATACATGTAAAAGTATGTACTTTATTTTATTTAATTGTATATTACTAAAATTTCACTCAGGGTGTTGGAAGATGGGAGAAGTGGACAGAGGAGATTAAGAGTGCGCCAGAAATTCCCAAGGAATCAATGGTGAATGAGATCATTGTCCCCACAGTCGACACAGTCCGCTACACGGAGATCATGAGAATGTTGGTTACCCACAGCACACCATGCTTGTTTGTCGGGCCTACAGGAACAGGCAAATCTGTCTACATAACCGTGAGTGAAACAGTCCAATTGTTTTTTTAATTGCAAAAAAAATAGAGAACAGGTACGTGTTTCTTGGAAAATTGAGACAAACATTAAAAATTAAATAGTATATATAAAGGTATCTTTTTAAATTTCATTGAAATAAACAAAACATAAAAGTACATTAATATATCAGATATTTAATGCTATTTTTCATTCCTTCTTCAGGACTTTCTGCTGAATAAGCTAGACAAAGAAGTTTATAAACCAAACATTATCAACTTCTCAGCTCAGACGAGTGCTAACCAAACTCAAGATATTATTATGTCCAAGTTAGACAAGAGGAGAAAAGGACTGTTTGGACCACCACTTGGCAAAAAAGCCGTAGGTTTATTATATACTTTCTGAAAACTTAATCTGTCTTTGTCTGTTTTCCCTTCATGTGATTGTCTATGCATCTGTCCAATTATAAGTACAAAGAGGTAGTGGGTGTGTGCAGAAGGAGCTTGTATCAAGTGTGGAAGGTGGCAACTTAACTGATAAAGATCCATTTATCCAGCCTATCCATCTGTACTTTATGTAGTCTGTTTTCTGAAGTTAATGTCCCTATTTTGTAGATTGTGTAGTCTATTTCGTGAATACTTACCTGGATAACCGACTAATTGCCATTGTTCCCAAAACAGA